GTTTCGGTTTCCTTTGAGGGGTTCCCTGGGTTCATTCCCAAAACCTTTGACATTTCGTCGGGGTTCTGTTGGAACGTCTGGGACTTTAAACGCAACCAACCTGGAGATTCTTTCATGAATTTCCTGGTAGTTCTCGTGTTTAACTTGCTTTTCCTAAATATCGATGGTTTTTTCGTGAAGTCGCCTAATTTTACTAAAACTCCTACATGTTCGTGAGATTGCAGAATTGGTCCCTTTTTACGTTTTCCCCGCCCGGAATTACCCGCAAACCGCACAAAGCAACACGCAACCCTTGATATCCACCCAAAAAGGATACGGAGCCTCAAAAAAGACGAGCCAAGCATATCGACGTGAGCCATACTTTCAAGGCGGGCCACTGACGATGGTTCCTTTGAATGATCGCAACTGGTTGCACATACAACAGGGTTGGGAATCTCACCACATGACTTGGCTACTACCCGAGTCCCAGCCCAGCAACCCCAGCAACAGACTTGAAACCCGATTTCGTGGGGAGAAAGCGCCAATCAAATGACAAACAGGAAAAAGGATGGTACGACCCAGTTGTCTGGAGGCCACGCAGAGGCAAGCATCAGATAGGCGAACTTCCGAACACAGTGCCAAGCAGCAAAACACAAAAGAGGAGTTGTGGCCACAAAACTGCCGGGAGGGAGGAAAACCATGTTCTTTGCACAACAGACTTTAAAAGACGTACCATCCGGGAGTTGCAGGTACAAGCTACCATGGTCATGTGCCCCTTCCGCGGGATCCTTACATTCCTGAAGATTCATTCTCCGGCCTTTTCCTAGGCGTTTTGGTTTCCTGATAGTTTTGGGTGAGTTGGACGTTCTAAATGGTTTTTAGGAGTTTTGGGCGACCCCCGAACCAAAAAGACGTATTTTGTTTTTATGTATTTTTCTGAGTTGCTTGCTCTTGTTTCGCAATTGGATACAAAGAAAACAACACTTTTCTTGGTTCCCTCCAAAAATAAACCCATATTGGGTTTAGGCATGTGCAAAAAAGGGGATCGACCTTCAAGGAATCCAAAAGGAAAAGGAAGCATCCTGCAGCCCCTCACTCTGAGAGGCACTCAACTGTCTTTTCCCTAAGCCTGTTCTGTGATCCTCCGGTCTGGCAGCTGGCGGCTTGGTCGGTCAGTTGGTATGGAGCTTCTGTTCTGTGGAGCATAGGGGTCCTTATAAACGCGAGATTCAAAGAGTGAGTTCTTAGATTTCCCTTCTTGAAAGTCATCTAGCGGTGAACATGACGGGGTTCCTCCTGAGTGTTCCCTGCCTTGTCCTGGGGTGCTTCCCGGAGTCCATATGTTTGGCAGTCTGTTAAGGACAGGCCACCGCAAACGACAGAACAATTCGGGCACCCGAATGGTTGGTCCCATGTTCGTGTGGCTCCCCTGGCATTTTTTGATGGGCGTGCGTTTCACTGCTTTTGTCCACTGTTTCTGTTGCCGCGTGGTTGAATGGGGAATCCCCCTGTTTTTGTTGGGCTACCACATTTTCTTGGATTTCTGTTCGAGTTTTCTATTTTCCACAAAAACATACGATATGGACCAGAAGCAAAGCCATGATTGTGATTGGCGGGAAGGAAGGCTGAGGTAGTTGCCTGATGAAGTGGCCAGCACCTCCCCAACACCTTCTTTTCCATGTCGAAAAATGAAAATGAAGTACCACAAGGAGTAGAGGTACCTTCCCCATTCATTCCAGGGATCCTTCTTTCCAGAAAACCTCCAGAAAACCTCCTGAAACCCAGGGAACACGGATCCAGTTTTTGAAAAAAAGAGCGGTGGTTGGAAACAATGGAAAAGGAATCAACCCCTGGAATGTTGGCATTTTTCTCCAAGCTGGTTGAACGCCTGAATGCCCCGCAGGCGCTGCAGAGCTGGCAGCAGCTGACCCAGAACATGCTGTACAGCTACAGCCCGGGCCACCAGCGCGGGTGTTTGGAGCACTCGGGGTTCCTAGAGAGGTCCAAAAGTGGCTACTAGTACCTGGAGTTTCCGTGAAACGTGGGGCCATGACATTTCCTCCCATGTTTGAAGGGTCGTGTACGCAGGAAGTGAGATAATGTTTTCTTGACCCCTGGGTGCTCTGATGTTATGGCATCCCCTTTGATACAGTCTCCCGCCCCGTCATTGGGAAGGCCCTTGCAACCATCACAGAAGTAAACTCAGATACCACCAGAGTAGGCACCTAGAATTTCTACCACGCTTCTCGGCGGCTCACAGAATTCTCAATCAAAACAAAAGGTTTCCATTTTATGCTCGCTGCAGGTGAATTCTGGACACCCCAAAAGAAAGCAATCAATAAAACAACAACCAACAGCAAAGCCTGCAGGGCAAAAAGGTGATCCTTTCCCAACCCACAATGGTAGGCAACCAAGGCAGCCAGGATCCATTGTTAGGTACCTGGTTTTGGTTAAGGGAACCACCCAAACTAAAAACAACTAAAAGCCAGAAGGAACATTGCGAGGGGTCACCTTTTATAGTGGTTTGTCTGGGATCCACTGGGCAAGTTTGGACGCTCCCCGTGCGCCTCGTTTGGACGCCGAGGCGACAACAGCCGCTCGGCGCAGGGCTGGAAACCCATGAGCTACCCCGACGAGTGGCTGGAGCACTCGGGCTACAAGGACGCTTCGAAGACTCCGAAGGTCATGGGGTTTTCCAACCGTTTTTGGTTTTGGAAGGAGCCCGTGGTGCTTCAGGTGGGGGGTTTCTTATTTGTGTTCCCGTCTTGTGGAAGGGGTTGTTAAGTCGTATCCAGAGAGTCAAAGTTACATGGAGGCTGGAAATTTGAGACCCTGGTGGTGGACTATGTGTGTTGTCTTAAACTAGGGGAACATCCCCCAAAAAGTGGCTGCCCCTTAAACCAGCACCAGAAAGGGTACCCCCAAGAAAAAACACCCGCACACACATGTTACGGTGCTAGAGGTGATTTGCTGATTGCACTTTGCACGTTTGACAGTGCCCAACTCCAATGGCGTTGGTTTCATGTTTATTCCCGCGAGATCGAATGACTGCGCCAACTGCGCCAATTTGTTTGTATGGTGCCAAAGATCTCGTCATGGCGCAACCTTGGTGCCCCTCTTACGTTGCAAAACCTTCCCCCTTGAGAAGGAAGTCTGCCCTGTGAAGCGCCTGACCGGGAGAAGGAAGCTTGATGCAATATGCAGGAGGGCCTATTTTAGGACGTGAAACTGACACACACACACACACACACAAACAAACAAAGAAACAGACACCCACACGCGAACAGGGCAGCTCAATATGCGAATTGGGTGGCGAGCTCCCAAAGCCCTCATCCATCAAGGTTCCATAGGTCTCCTTATTCAGGCGCATTGTACCGCAGTAGTTTGCCCAGAGATCCGTCTTCTCGTGTTGTTTGCATCTCAAGCAGAAGGAAGGCACCGCGCATTGGTTTAAACTCACCGAGGTCACGGCGCGCATGCATCTGACTTTTGTGCAGCACGTGGAAGATGCTCCATGCCGCAGGAGGGCCCACCGCCTGCCCCGGTGGAAGACAAGTGCCCGCCCAAATGCGACGACGGGGAGCTCGTGGTTTAACTCCTCAATCGAGCAGGACTGAGGGGAAACCACCTGTCACTGCCCACTCCAAGCCCCCCAACCAGTTGGGAAGATATGGACTTTGCCTCGTTTGGCCTTGTTAGGCCTTTGGCCTTGTTTGGTCTTATTTGGCGCGATGCTTGGTCTTTGACCTTGTTTAGCTTTGTTTGCCCTGACTAGTCTGACGGATGAAACAGGGAAGCCGATATGAGGTTCAGCCAGCATTGTAGTCGATCCGGTCAGGGGTCCTCTTCATAGTAGTGGCCCCCTTTCGTAGCACTGGGAAATACGTTTCCCACAACCATGACCAACCATGACCGGCGAACCCAGCAAAGCAAGCTGATTTCACTGTCCGGCCCTAGCTCTGCAGGACGCAGCTGGGCAAAAACGTTGCGGCCGCTTGGGTCGCGAGCATGCCCCCGCCTGGTGCTGACAAAAGATGCGCGGAGCGTGAAGATACTGTTGATGGTTAACATTTCTACGGGAGCGATGCGCGTGATGCTTTAAACAACACCAGGAAACAAGGGAGATCCTCTTATTTTCCGTGGTTACCATAGTTGTGTGGGTGCATGTGGTGTGGCTGGTTTGCGACAGATCATCACTATGTTTCCTGACTTGATCTCTTTCTTGTCGTGCGTATGAGTTCCATGGGGAAATCTAACTTTGCGCGTCATAAGCGCATCCTTCTGGTGCCAAAGGGATGATCCCGTGGTCCAATGGCCAAGCTGTTTGTTAGATCCTCCGTGGCCCGGGCGCTGAAAGGAACTGGAAGGCTTGTCTTGAAAGAAATGTGATGCAAACACCCAAGTGAACCAAGTGACATGCGAACCATGTCTTCAACTGGGTCCAATTCCAAGGGTCTTGAAGATGCCACAATGGACAGAGTTTTTCGAGACATTGGGAGACGGCCTAGACACGCTCCTCAGTGCCCCAGATGTCTAACACACAGAAACATTGCCGATATAGATTGTGAATGTGGGAACCGATAAACCAACTTAAATTGAAACCTGAAGGCTGTTCGCCTTCAGTCCGGTTGCGCCATGTTGGGCATCACTTGTGTCTGTGGATGTTGCTGTGGACCTCGGTTGAGGTCCTGTGCAAGCTCGGCACTAGTTGAGCTTCGCTTCCCTTGGGGAAAATACAAGGTGGTTGTTTATGGCTGGTCTTTGCGGGTAAGTTGCCCCTTAGACTCAGACCGTTGGAAACAAGATTCTATCATGTAGCTGGCTTGGAGCAACCCAGGATGAAACAACAATTTCAACATCCCCACCCCCTTAAAGATGAAATTGGGGGAGGTGAATTTTGGAGTTCCATTTTCCGTTTTATGGGGAACACCCAGAAACATGGGATTGGTGCCGATCTATGCCTCTCTCGGTAGAGCATATTTCAACAACGGCACGACCCAAGTCCAACCCCGCGGCTTCAGGACCTCTCCACGTACTCGAGCGCCCTTTGCGCCCGCGGCTCAGCTCGGCGAGCTGCAACGCGGGCCGTTCTTGAGCGGCGTTGTTGGGTCCCCATTCGTGACCCAGGCATCCGATTTTTTCTAGAAAACCGGAAACCTATGGAAACGGATCCGGGTTTCGAAAAGAACGATGGTGAGAAAGAATGGGGAATCAACCCTTGGAGTGTTACCCTTTTTTGAAAGCACCCATTCCGGAGTAGCTTTACAGGCGCACCGAAGAACAGCCAACGATTTTCGAGGCTGCTTTGTTGCGTAAGCCTTCAAACATGAGAAGGAACCTCCAACAATGAGCATGGTTCCATCACCAAGAATGACAACCCCCCAAAACAAACGGACGGCCCAAAAAACATTCGCCCCAAATGTTGAATAGTTCCAGAGCCGAATGGTACCCTCCAACAACAACAAAGCTAAATACTTCCGCACCCTCAAGAAGAAGCAAACAACAAAACAATTGCCTGGAGTCTCCATGACCCTGTAAAAATGGGGTCATGACCCCTTTATTTTGGGTAATGCCCCCATCTTTTAAGGGTCATGGAGACTCCATGTGGTTCCTTTCAGTTGGCAGCCCCTGAGGTCTGCAGCGGCGCGCGGCGCGGCGTCTACGCCGCGGCGGAGCATGCGAACCGTTGGGGGCCCCTGGAGGTCCAGAGGCGGGCGAGCCATACGGACGAGGGAGGCGGGGGAGGCGGTGTGTTCCTTGCATAGAAACCGAGAAATATACCCCCCAGGGGAAACTCTGGATTTCCTTGGTAAGTGGAAACTCTTGGTCCGAGTTTCCTTGGATAGAACCGTGGTGTGTTCCTTGGGGGTGTGTGGCTCGAAAAATTAAACAGGAGGGGCAAACCGCAGGTTTCGGTCCATGTTTCCACTTGCCAGGGTTCCATTTTGGTACCGGTTTTTTGAGCCACAGCCAAATAACAACTAGGTCCCCCAGTAGTGCCGTTTCTCACTAACTTTTTTGGGGGAGGGTTGCCCTACTAAAATAGACTACAGAAAAAAAGGGTGCCCTTATTCTATTCTCTCTACTGGCGGACCTAGACAACTAACATGGCACCTGACAGGGGGTCCCTCCAAGAGAAACTGTTCTTCCAGGTACCCTCCCACGTGTGCCATGTTGGGAGGAAGGGTAACAACAACTGGAAAGGAGAAATATAGAGAAACCAATTGGAATTGCAGAAAAAAGCTTGTGGACTTCAAGAAACTACGAGGCAAATGGCTTGTTACTTGCTGTAGCTGGGATGCACTGGGTTTGCTTGTCGCAAAGGCGGCGTTGATTGCTAAGAGTCTCCACGTGCTTTCGGGCTTGTGTTTTCTCCACGTCCCTTGGAAGTTCAACCAGCTGAGTAGGTTGCAGCTGCCGAAAAGATTTATTTCTCAGGGGGATAACGGGTCAATTGATTCCCCAAACACTCTCAGCTCGGAAGACCGTAGTGGCCTCAACAAAATCCACTTACAAAGTAAGTACTTCACTATGGCTGTTACCAGAACAATGGGTTGACCAACGGCCTGCTGCGTTGGAGTTTTTTTTTTCAGGGACAGCAAACATCAGCAATAGACACAACTGGGTATGGGTCAAAATTAAGCCACCAGGGGACCACAGGTGTTAGTCATTGTTTCCATTTACCAGGGTGCCATTTTGGTTGACCCATTTTTTACCCACAGCCAACTCAGTCCCTGCAACGCTTGTGGAAGCTGACGAGAGGGATTTGGACGTCGTCGGCGTTGGGTTCCGAGGCCTGGCGCGGCTCAGCGAGGACATGGAGACCCTCAGCTTCCTGGGCCAAAGGGTCCGGACCTCTGGAGCCGAGCCCGGAGAGAGGGGTTCGCCGAACCACGAAGCCAGTGGCGCCTTGACCGAAACATGAACGAAGTCAAGCAAAACATGGGAAAAGGTGTAGCAGAAATGGAAGTTGAGAATCGGGCTAAAAGGTGCTTTTTCTCGAAGATCCCTTGCTTCAGGTGGAATTATGTTGGAGATTTTGCAGATTGTAGCGACCAGAAACCACCAATTGCCAGGTTTCTTTTGGTTCCCATCCACAGAAGGGTAATTCCCGGGCTTGAGAGGGCCCGGAGCTGCCAGTGGTCATGGCAGAGAACCAGGAACAAAAAAACTAGAGGAAACTACTAAATAAGGGTTTGCCTAGGGGTGTAAAGGAGCGTCACCTGGCAATCTACGAATTGGTTTGCCTTGGAGTGTCAAGGCAAGAGCCGAAGTTTGAAACCTACGAACTTCCCGAGTTCCAGCTGCGCGGCTGCTTCAACTGGTGAGTTGTCGTTTGGTTCAAGGGGTCTTTCAGCATTTTAGTCAGGCCCAAGAAGTGAATACCAAGGTGCGGTCACCAACCAGGGCACCGTTTCAAGACGGTTTCCAATTTGTGTCAATCCGCCACATGGAACCCAAACATCATGAGGAATGGGAGCTTGCAGAAACCAAAACATCGGCAGGACATATTCAGCCAGCCGCACACGGGTCCCGCAAAAGCACATTCATGACTCAACATGGTGGCACGACATTTCGGACCTGGCACATGTCTTCGGATCCCAAAGGGTTCCCCTGATGGGTCCCTTGACAAATTGTAGTCCAGGTATCCGGTGCCGTGTTGGTGGAAGGGGCGGTTTGTCATTTTTCCAGACCCACTTGGGCAACCCGCAAGGGGTTGTGTACTTAGCAGAGCCGAACAGAGCCAGACCCAATACTTCGCCCCCATCCCCTCTTGCTATTCCCATATGCGGCTCGAGGCCTTTGAGGTGATGCCGCCATTGAGAGCGCGAGCCACAGATCGAGTCAGCTGCGGGTGTGTTTTTCTTGTTTTTCCCCAACCCTTGGCTCCCCAACTTCAAGAAGACCCGGAGGGCATTTGGTTGAAACCCCTCGCAACCCTATTCTACGAATACCTGCCTTGTAGACCCTTTTAGCCCCCCGAACCACAAATTGTTTTTGTTGTTTTTCCGGGTCAGCTCTTACGGACAGTTCGTATACAACAACAAAATGGAAGACTGGTTATATGTTTACCATACTGTAGCCACCATTTACATACAGGGATGATGTACCCATATTTCCCTGGAGGGAGGGTTGGTTTGCACGGAGAGAAACGCCTCAGAGCAACAACTGCAGTGTGTGTGGGTTGTGCCAAACTGGAGTTTCGGGCCCACTTAAATGGGCTTCGGTCCCTCTTTCCAAGCGCACACACAAAAGCCAGCGATGGCATGTATGGCTGTGGAAGGGGGACACACAGGCCTCCATAAAGACTGTTGCAACCATATTGACTGGGTCTCGTTTTGTGGGGTTTGTTGAACTGAGAGCTGCTCACGGGTTTTCGCGTTGGTTTTCGTGTGGGTGTGTCTCTTGTCGGCTGGTGCCCTTTTAGGGGTAGTAGCGGGGAAAAACGGGAAGCCAACACTCCGGTACCCTTTTTGGGGTAGTAAAGGACCCATTTGGGTTTTCATGAGCTGCGGGGAGCAACCCCCGGGGCCTTTCCGTGGCGTCCATGCCGAGGCCCTCGAGGCCACAGTTGCGTACATCCACCAGGCAGCCCGCGCAAGCGGATCGTGGCGTGACCTGTTTTCGGTTGGATGAGGGCGGTTCCCCGTGAAGTCAATTTCCCAAGAAGAGAAAGGGCCCTTTTTGAACTGGGAGTCGGAAAATGTGTGTTTGTTTGTGCCCTTGTGGAATGGGACAGGGGGAAGGTTGGTTTACACAAGATGAAGCTTGGGGGAGCAACGCTCACCTGCTGTAGATATCCGCCCTTGTGTTTTATTTCAAATTGAGCTGTTTGGTCATTGCAAACATCGAGTTTCCCACCACACCCAAAGGAAAGCACAATTTTGGGGAGTATTGTTCACGTGGATTGTTCAAGATTACCTGTTTCTGTATCACCGGCATTGTGTAGACTTAGACTCTTCGGATACAAGGTTCGGATTCTGAATCACCAAAGTTCTCCATCTTTTTTTCTTTGCAGGGTGTCAATCTCATTTTTGTTGCCGTTCGTGCGATTCCTTGTGTGACGCGTAAAGGAGATGTAGGAAACCTGGTGGGATCCCAGACTTCACTCGTGAGGGTGTCGCATTAGGAAATCCGCAGGAACGCTGGCCCCTGTGGCCGTTATCCACGAAGTGTACGAAGGGCCTTTCAAGATGCTAGCTCTTTTTGCTAGACCGAATCAACATGTCCAAGGCTTGTATGAACCCACTTATGAAGCTACTTAGCCCATGTTGCGACCCCTTTGGTGGCTGGTTTCCCGTGATCAAGGCTAAAATTGAAGCTAACAGGAGGCCATCAGATTCCACCGTGGTGGATCGGAGGATGCAGCGCCTTTTGGTCTGCCAAATTTCCCCACGACTGCAGGGGGGGTTCAAGACAACGCTCAGTGAAATTTAGTCCAATAGCTGGAAGTCGGACAAAACAACACATGTCAGGTTGCACCCTGTTTGCTCTCAGTACACACTGAACGGAAACCGATGTCCATTCTGAGGCAAGTCTCTTTAGTCAGAGGAAAAACAGTGTACCTTCCCCGGGATACGTGGCCCAATATTCCCCTTACATTGACCCAGTTCACAAATAGGGAATAAAACAACGTGCTATAGGTTTCCGTATTTTCACACAGTTGGAGTTTGGCTTTCTTGCAATATCTTGGGCATCCACCATAATATAGTGTACGAATCCTTAGTTCATGTTGCTTTTCACATGCATAATATTATATATATATATATATGTGTACTGTATACCCAGATTTGTCGAATGAACGGGGAAGCCAAACAGCTCTGTGATCCTAAAGCACCCGCATGTAATACCTCCCCGAACCTCACCGACCTGCGGCTCGCAGGATGCCGAAGGCATCGCTCAGCTGGCGATCAGCGCGGTGAGCCGCGCCTCGGATTTCTTAGCCACTCACACCCCCGTGGGTTGCTTGCAGTGAGCTGCTGTTTCAACGTCCAACATCCCAATGTCCAAAGAGCAGTTGGGGTTTACACTTCTTTTTTTTTGGCATTCAAAAACAACCATATTTTCCCAATGGATCCTATTTATTGACTGCCCCAAGTTAGACATGATCCCAAGAGTTCTCCTTTTGGCCGAAAAAGGGCCCAGTTTTCATCATGTGCCGCGCTCATTGTGGTTCACAGTGGGCCTCTTTTGCAAACCGCCCCCGCGGTCCTTTGACACATAACCACTCCGAGGCGAAGGTCTCAACTTCTCTACGTGGCAGGCGGGGTTCCGTGCTGATAGACTCACCCCACGCGTTGGGAAGACCAGTTTAGTGCAAAGAAATTATGCAAAGAGATTGGGACCTGGAGTCTCCCAAAGCTGTGATTTCCCCAAAGTTCAAGGCGTGGTCCCAGTGAGTGAAGGAGACTTCGGCTGGTCCAATGACGATCCGTTTCGGATGGATTTCGGATGGGTTTGGGATCGGTCAGAACGCTCGGTTGGTGTTTGAGGGAACGGCAAAAAAAACAAGTTTTCCTTTTGGCTCCCCTTTGAAGCCCAAAGGTACCCTCCAAAAGCGACACACCCAAACAGCCCATAATTTCTGTCTTCCCCAAAGGGAAGCCAAAATGGGACTGGTTGTTGTCCAGACCCCCTATCTAGCACAGGAAAAGTGTCGCTTTCGAATCGAAGGCCCAGTTTCTCAGTCGGCCGTGGGCTTCTTCGGAGTGAGCCCCAACGCCACGTGGCTTTCCAGGCTGCGTACGCAGCCTTCAGCCTTGCGGGGCACAACACAAGCCCGGGCCCTTCAGCCGCGGGGCCGCGGCTGGTTTGGCCCATGGGGCTTTGTGGGTGGTTTGGCATGGTGTTGCAACACGCAGGTTCCGTTTTGTGTTCGGTTGTGTTTGTATCTGTTGCTTTTAAGAATGGTTCTTGGTATCATTGGATGGGTTCTCAATTATTTGACAGCACAGATGGTCGCTGAACTTCCACTCTAAGGACTCAACCAAGTGGGGCAGGGGGGAACTGCCTCAAATCGGGGAGGATCCGCTTTGCATGTGTGGTAAAGAGGTAGCCTGGCATCCCAGGCCGTCCAACACCTGTTTGGCGACGCAAAACAGACTGCATGGAACATAGCCGGCGGTTTCCGGCCAGGCCGCATCCGGACTTGGCTCTCTTCTTTGGTTCTCAGACACGGAATCAGTGATTGGTTCTCAGAATTTGGTTGGTTCCGGTTGCTTGGTTTCCACTTCTTTTTTTACCAGGAGCACTCGGGAAGGGTTTCAAGGGAAACCGCAACGAGCAGTATTGTCAGCAGACACGGTGAAACAGGTACTACCCACTGTGTCACGTTGCCCCTTGGAACGGAACATGGGCCAAGCGAGGGACATATTTGTCAGGCTCCATCGCAAGGTGGGGAGTGCAGCAGTGGGCCCCTATTTGGTTGTCGACTTCTAGATGCCGCTTTCGGTGTCAAATAACTCTTCCAACCCATTTGCCACTGGACGAGGTTTCGCAATTGCAGCAGCTGTCGAGGCGCGCGCGGCAGAGATTTGGTCGGGGTGTGGAGATGCCTGGGAAAACACTTCCCCTCCCTCCCTCCCCCCGCCCCCGCAAATGAGGAAAGGGGAAGCAAAGTGTTCATCAACAGGGTCTAGGGTCCCAAGGAGGTTCCGATTCGGTCCTCGTTCAAGTGAGGTCGCACCTTTGCCAGAAACAAAAACCGTCAACGTCGTATTTACCGACTAAGAAGCTTTAGTGACATCGATCAGCATCATATTTGTTTGGATTTGTGAATGGGGAAATTGAAAGCTGCAACTGCAATTGCTGGTGCAGCCCGCTTTTACCACTGCAGCTTGGGTGAGCGAGCAGCTTGTTGATTTCGATTATGTTTAGTATTGCCTAAGTATCTTTGAGTATTGCGAGATTAGGGGTCTGGCAAAACACATCTTTACTTTGTGTTGGATTGTTATCCAAAGGGTGCACAACTGACTCCAAGGGGGCAGCATTGAGTCAAACAATTTTTTGTTTAAGGCTCACCAGGCCAACAGAAAGCCCCAGGAAGCCCAGGGATGTTTTGAGTCCACCAAAGGGCCATGAAAAACATCCAAAAAAAATCGGAAAAAACAGAAAAGAACTCCGGCCTCCGGGCGCCTTGGCATTGGTGGGGCCAGGCGGTGAAGCAGCTGGGGGGCCATCGGGACCAGGCCATCGCTCTGATGCCAGCCCAGGGCCCTGGCGGGTTCGATGCGGAAGATGGTCGGAAAACCAAAAAGGGCAACCCAGACGAGCTTCGGGTGTAGGGGTTGAATTGTTTGTTCGGGTGCCGGGTTCCGTTTTTCTTTTGGAGGGGCAAAAAACCAAAAGGACACCCCATACTTTCGTTCCCTTACTTTGAGCACAAACACAAGTGGTCCCCTAATTTGTTGGTTGCCGTTTGGCTTCCCTGTATACCGAAGGGGTAGGGTCCACCATTTTAAGAATTACTCGAATTGTGAATTCCTGTCGTGGATTTTGACGGGTGTCTATAGAAAGGTCGCCTATCGCTTTAAAAGCCTCGAATAACCAAATCAGTGATAGCCCCCTCCCTCCCATAGCCCTCAGAGGTCATGATCATGGTCTGTTTGCCTCTGTAATATGAACGGGGGGGCTTCCCAAAAGCTTCTTTTTTTTTCTTAAATAGATGTGTCCTGGTATTTCTGACCCACAAGGACGTGTCCCATTGAGGCAAGCTCCCCTTTGGTGTGTGAGGTTGGTTAATCCAGGATCAAGGCAGTTGACACTGGGTGCGATCAACAGCAACCACAACGATTGAAAGTTAAAGAAATAGA